TTATCGTTCGTCCCTAATAACCGTGATAATAATATCCGAATTATTGCAGGAATAACTTGGGGAAAGCGGCAGATAAATACTCGATTATCCGATACATTACTGCTTTAATTATTTCAATACATCGATGCTACATTCAACATAATATTATTGTAGATAATGTATCATAATCGATAGATTCTTATGATTGCGTTATAATTTATATCGAAACTGAAAAAAAAAAGAAGCGTTTATCGTATATTAGTATATTGTTTACAACGTTTTAGTTGGAGAGGATCAAAACTAACTAATAAGGGCGAATGTGGTTTATCATACCCGCTCGAAGTTTCTTCACTTCCTTCTCGAAACTTACGAATCTTCGTGGCTGCGTCTTTTCTCCTTTTGCAATCCCGGCAGAACGTAGTCCACTACAAACTTTGTGACGATTGTAAGCAAGGCTTCTACGAGTCTCCCAATCTTGTTGTTATGATACAAACAGCTGAACCGATCCATGTCTTCATTCTTTCAAAAATTTCTTCCAAGAGTTTGAATCCAGAGCAACGCATTCGGGTTACAACCATTCTTTTGTTTCTTTAGGGTGACTTCCTAACTATGCTATACGCAATTTTGTGAGAACTAACGTCACCATTTCTCATAGCATCACACTTAGAAAAGAAAAAAGGGTGAATAAAATAACGAGCTGTTTGTTGCGACATAAACTGAGTTATTTTAAACAGACATCTGGATCTAGTGACACTTTTGCGGCGTCGTTATTGTAAATAGGCGATTTTGCTACTTACGGAACTCACCATCTAAATCATACAGAAAGACAAAGTCAGTTAACATAAAACTACATTGAAAATATTCGAGCTTTCATCTTTTTCTTCAAATGAGGTAGACGTATGTTGATAATAGTTTGAACTTTTCGTATGTTTTAGATCTTCTTTATCACCTAAAGATTAAAATTAGAATATGACAGAGGCTGTTCTCAAAAAGTTTGCATACCGTTTATAATCCCGTTATGGAGGTGAATCTGTTTACCTGCACTTACTTTTGTTCTTTGAGTATGTAAAGCAGTCCGACCGGTCCGAGCATGGCGAATCTTCATGATCATACTCTAATTCCATACCATCTAAACGTCAGCCGAACTTAAAAATTGCCGCACTCCAATGGGTTTAGTATCAACCATTTAATTTCATTTATCTTGCCAAAATTACACCTGTGTGTTAAATACAAGAAGTCTTTTCCTTCTTCAAAGTGTTCAGGTTATGCTGACAGTAGTCCTCCAGATTGAATTCGCAAACGTTTTCGATAAGATACATAAGCAAACCTAATTCTAAAATTCCAATTATTCGCCACAACGTACACGAGCTATTTTGCTTTACTTAATTGTAATTGCGATATTTTTATTCTTGCAATAATTTCGTTGATTTCCTCACACTAATAAGATAAAAAACGTATGTTACTTGAATATGCCCAATCCTAGGTCTAGGTCGCATCTCAAAGATAGTGCCCTAATTAAGTTGTAGTAATTTCAGTATTATTATGATGGCCGCAGCCCTTTGATTAGACAGTAAGCAACGTCGATCGCATTATATCCTATTAAAGCTTCAAAGAGAAATAATCAGAACGGTACCCAAAATGATGAACGACAGTGACTATGTAATAGACAAAATAAGAGCAAATAAATTAAGTGTTAATTTGAGTGTCAAGCTGGAGTTACTTACTATAGACGACCTAGGTTTCGGATAGAGCAATAGCAACGCAACATTTACAGGCACTTGCTTTAATATATTTGCGTAAAGTTATAATGACCAAACTACTTTTTCGCTTTCAACATACAGACGATGTTTACCTCATCATCACTCTTCAGAGCATTATGAAATAACAACATGTTTTTCTTCAACATTAGGGTGCGTGATAAAATGAAAATAATTTTCTGTAAAGAAAAAACGCCTGATAAAGAGTGATGATGAGCAGACGCGCTGATACCATTATATAAGTAATGAGGTGGAAATAACTTTAAGATAAACTACAAAAACCAACTTTTAGTTGCAATACAATTTAATCACGACAAGGCAAAAGTTATGTGAAGGACCAAGAATTCCACTCTTAACAAAATGGAAAAGGGGTGATGACTGTTTACATACGCGTAACATTACAGGGCGCCGCGGCGTAAACAATTTTTCGCGTAAAATGGGGAATATATTATTACTTGCGCCCAATCGGAAGCCACCCGTCCCATATTTCAGGACATTTTCGCAACAAGTATATAAATACTTGCCTTCCCTCCATGAATGGCAACAAACAACTGCATAGTTCCTTAGTCCTACTGGTTGGGAGGATTCCTATTTGATATGCTGCCAACCTCAGCTCGCGAGTGAGGGATGTTTACGAACGTGGTAGATGTCAGGCAAGCATTGTCGAATACATTTTAAATGCAATATTGCATAATTTTTTGTGAAGTCCTAAACGGTTTTGATCCCCGAGATGGTTGATCCTGTTTAGGCAAACCCACTTGATATGCTGCCACCTCAACGTGGTAAGTGGGTGACAACGTTTATTTACTGTAATAAACGGCAAAGAGCAGCATATTAATAACAATCAGCGACTCTTAATGGTTGGGAGAGGGTAGAATTAATTCAGTTTATGAGGATTAATATTAAATAATGACGTCCAATAGTGTTGTGAGGATTTTTTTAGATCGGAAATGTGAAAGTGACATTCGCACGTATGACATTAATAATAGCACAATCAGTAAATAATCCACTAGTTAGGAAAAACTGACATCTCAAACAGATATATAAGAAGCGCGACTCTCCGTTAAAATTGATGTGTTCAATTACTTTCGATCCCTTTATGATGATGAGCGAATAGTTTTCAGTATAGTCGTGAACCACTAATCCCTATGTCAATTAGGAATACCCGCCTTTTGTCCCATGGATATTCGTGGCATTTACGATTGTTATTCGCTTAAGTGGAAATGCATTTAAATAGATACCAACCTATTACTATAGGCTTCCGATTTAATCCCACCGGATCGATTAACTCGAGGGCGAATATCCGTCTAGGATTAGTGTCTACCGATCGACAGCTCCATTTGAAAATAGTTAAGTCTCAGGGGTCAGCGATCGATTGCTTTGAGACAATCTCGCCAGCTATAGTACATAGATGCGTCGAATATCTGTAAGGTGCTGCTTTCGAAAAGGGAATATTAATATACAGATTAAACGGTTCAACCAGGGCTAAAGGATTTAATTCCGAGGGAGATGTGAATTTGTTGGCTGAAGGGCGCTATGGATGGATGCTAAAGTTTGGATATGAGTTTGGATATGATTTAAATTGCATTAAAGTTGAATCCAACGTCTCTCATTGCATTTCAAGGCCAAATGGAAGACAGAAATGTTCCTAAGACTGATAATAACCGACTTTTGAAACTCTCTATTATCTTGCCTAGATGAGCGATAATTAAGACTTTATAGTAATCGTCGCAGGTAGAGGGTTATTGGGTCAAACTAAATGATACCATCACAACTGCAACGACAACATAATAAATTTTATAAATCAATACGGGAAACCAACAATGAACTTTTGACAGTTAATAAAACACAAATTGTGGTTAATAGGCTTGACATTGGAAACTATTATTACGTATTAGTATTGGCGCTGTTTATGTCAATCGAATAAAGTATCGGACTGGACCAAAATGGTCATATTATTGTTACGCCCATTCTAAGTAAGAGCTAATTGCAAAAAAAAAATAATTTTTTTTATCACATTAACACTACAGACTTATTTTCCACGCCGGTTTTTAACATATCTACTTAAGTAAAGAAGAGGTGAAAACAAGGAGTACATTTTCTGAAGAGTGGGAAGGGTTTTAGAGTAATATATTACTTGCATGAGTTACAAATTTAAATTCGACAGAGTAGCAAAAAAATAGGATTCAAGTGATCTCCGGTGCATGATAATACGAATTATTTTACTCTTTGGTTGCAATGTCACAAAATACCATTAATTGCAAGCCAAGTCATACCGAGGGATGGACAATCTGTCAGATCTTTTCGTGGTATTACAGCATTAATTTCTGTTATAAATAAAGAATGTATCAATAGTAATAGGAAAAAACCCTTCAAAAATAAGATGCAGAAGAGAAAAGTTTTTTAGACGAGTTGTTGCTTACCGAATTCTTTGCTTAAAGTTTTAGCCCCTGAACTCGTTCGTGCATGCGTATTCTGTAGGCGACAAATTTTATCTACTGGGATGCCTAATTAAGCCGGGAATCCCCTGAAAAAATTTTTTTATCCGATTATCTTTCAGTAAGACAGTCGGTGAATAAACAGGTTTTTATCCAGAATTATCGGTATCTTGTACTCGTGTGTCGGATTTGTTGACAAACAAATTTTTGCCTCAACGGTTAACATTAATTGTAATAACAGGCAGGCAAGCTTCCCATACGCATCCCATTCTCTACGTAACACATCATGTCTCATTCTCATCTCTCTCCCAATGTGTTCATGGCCATATTAATAGCTCAAAACATGTGCGGACATGAAAGGTGACAATTTAATAAACGTAATGCACAACCCCAATTGACATTTGAATGTCAATTATGACATCATGCAGCCCTCACTTAATTGGGTCACCGATAGTCCGGATGACTCTCAAAAAGACATGTCGAAACAGGTTAACCATTTTGTCTTGACCATTCGTTAACGATTTTGGTTTTTCATTCAATCTCTTATCAGTCGTATCGTTATAATTAAGTAGCTAGCCTATTATCTATTATATTCTCTAATGTTGTGACATACACAAGACTTCCTGACATCACACAAATTCCCTTACAAGTACAAATCGGGAAACATGCTGAAGTTAAAGTTTGCAAAGGGCAGACACCTGCTCTACAAAAAAAAATTTATAATAACTTACGTCCCTACAACAATCCACTCGCCCCCAAAGTCTAACAATACCACCAAGACCTAGACACATACCACTGACATTCTCATAATTCTTTCCTTACAACAATGTCGATGCGGCTACAGGAACTCCCGGCTCGCTTTCGCGCTTTCCTCTGTTATGTTGCCTCTAAATCGTCTCGCGCTCCCATTGAGACGATTGTATTCTGTCTTATAATAGCCTCATTTTCTTATGCGTCTTTATTCAGATCATTTGTAGAATCTGACTACTTCAATGATAAATCTCCAACACTCGAATCAACTCAAGTCATTGCACGTGCCGACTCTGACAATTTCATACCACTTGCAACCAGAGAATCAATAACTCAAGCATCAAGATTGCAATTGAAGCAGATTATTATTGAAGGAACATCGGGGGATTATTACAACGTCTTAGATAAAAAAATATTAGAGAGTGTATTAGAATTGCAACACGTACTAGAGAAAGTGATGGATGTAAATGACGGAATGAATAAATTATATTACAACGACGATTTATGTTATAAATCAACACTCGACAATACTGGTAGCTGCTTCGTCGCGTCCCCACTTCAAATATGGAATAACAACTATGGGACATTACACTCAGATACAAATATACTCGAAACTGTTCGAACTCGTCTTGAACTTAATGAAGCACAGCACTTGTTCAGAGATCTAAATTTACAAGAAAACACAAACAACCCGACCGCGCTAGCGCTTACGTACGCATTTAACACCAATGGTCCATTCAGAGTACGCTGGGCTAATATGTGGGAAGATAAAGTAGCTACGTTGAAGATAGGAAGGTTGGCATCTATTGGAAAGAAGCAGCAGCAGGAAATCGAAAAAGGTTCAGTTGCTTGGTTGTTGATGTCTCTTGGAAATATGGCATCAAAGATAAGGGAGGCAATACGGGTAAGGAAAGGACAATATGACAGAATTATATATTTACCATGAAGATTATTCATACAAGCTAGTTTCGTACACGTAGGACGCGGAAACTGTTGATATAGTAGTCGTATTTGCTGGATATTTGTTGATGCATACGACGTTCCTTGGACTCTTCCTAAATATGCGCAAGATCGGTTCTCGTTTTATACTTGGTAAATAACACAAACTTAAGAAATACGAAATTGCTAATCAACGATTGTCTCTGACAGAGCATCACCAGTGAGTTGAACAAATCAAAAGAATTATTGATTAACACATACATACTCTTTAGCAATGTGTGTGCTCTGGAATGGATTTTTTGCCTTTTTGGCTGCGATGTTAACAGTTAATCTTCTTGGCGTCTATGTGAACCCAGTTCTGTTAAGGTATGGAATAGTAATCAAATCTGGCATTATGTCCAATCAATCAACTAACACGCATCAAATTCAACAAAACTACTATTCGTCAGTGAGGCAATACCGTTCCTCGTAGTAACAGTCGGGTTTGAGAAACCGTTTGTTCTCACAAAGGCCGTCCTCCAGGCGTCTTCAAACAGCAGCCCTCCAAGTTCGCCAACAAAGGACATGAAAAATCCTGCTACAATATCATACAACGTCCTTGATAATGTTCTGGCTGGAGTGAATAAAGTTGGGTTGAACATCGTCCGAGATTACTTGATCGAAATAGTAGTCTTAGTGGTCGGAGCTTTATCAGGAGTAGCTGGATTACAAGAATTTTGTTTCTTGGCCTCGTTTATTTTGTTCTATGATTGTGTGTTTCTGTTTAGTTTTTACACTGCTATGTTGACCATGAAACTTGAGGTGAGTGAAACAGTATATTAAGCGAGTCATATGCGATAGATTGATCCAACATGTGATTATCGTTCCAGTTGAAACGAATAAGAGAAACAAGTCTCAAGCAAATTGCAGTAGAAGACGAAATCACCGTCAGTCCAGCCAACATCCGACATAATATTTTCAAAGCGTTCCGGGACACTACTGTTGAAACTGAAGGATCCAAAAAATTCAACAATCCCATGATAGCGAGAATCAAACTGTTAATTGTAAGTCATTTATTCAGGTCCATAACTGATCGTAACAAACATTAACATAATTGACTTTTACAATAGATAATAGGCTTCGTGATCATGCATGTGATGAATCTTGCTAGCACACTGCACACGAACGACACAATTTCCCTTCCTTCGAAAACAATGCCCAAAGTCACCAAAGTTGACATCAACGACTCCACTATACACCCAATTCTCAGTCTCCTCCTTCGGGAGCACCGTCAAAGTCCTCGCGGCAACCTGCCTCTCATTGTAGACATTGCTCCACCAGTGGTATTTCGCATTAGTCCGAACATCGGAAGCCCAATATCAGAGCGCGTCTACGAAGCGCTCAATGAATTGATGGACTTTTGGAGTTACTATGTACAGGATCCTGTGTTAGCCAGATGGACATGGGTTATGCTTGCGGTATCTGTGATGTTGAACGTGTATCTATTGAACACACACAAGTTACCCAAGATCCAGCAGCAATCTATGAAAAAGACATTTACAAGCGGGCCAAACGTAAACTCAAACGCGGCTGATACGACCACGACAACTACAATGACAGAAACGATCACCACAATGACGAGCAAAGCGGAGACAGATAAAGAAAAGATAGTTGCTGATGCAATCTCATCCACTACCGAATCTTCACACGATCTTCATTCAACCAATATAATACCCAAGCTTTCGTCATCGTCACAAAAAGAAACATCATCTCTTACATCGCCTTCTGCCCCAGCAAAGGAGCCATCTCCTTTGATAATGAGTTCGATCGAAGCTCGTACAGACTTGTGCAGCACAGTGTCCTCGTCATGTAAGACACCTCCGTCTAACCCCACCCTTCCACCAGTTTCCTCATCCTCGTCTTTATCATCTTCTCCTTCTGTGGTACGTACTCTTTCAGAATGTCTCGAAATATGTGATACTTCTCCGCTCGGCGCCGCAGCGCTGTCAGATGAAGATATAGTATTGCTAGTTCAGAACGGCAAATTTAGCATTCATTCACTAGAGAAAACACTCAAAGACTTTTTGAGAGCAGTCAAGATCCGTCGAATGATATTGTCGCGGGTATCATTAACGAAAACACTAGAAACATCTGCTTTGCCAATGAGCCATTATGATTATGCAAAAGTATATGGAGCGTGTTGTGAAAGCGTTATCGGATATATTCCTGTACCGGTTGGAGTTTCTGGTCCACTCAACATCGACGGCGAATTGCTCCATATTCCCATGGCGACAACCGAAGGATGTCTCGTAGCTTCGACGTCGCGAGGATGTAAAGCAATAAATGCAGGTAATTTGTGTTCCTTATTTAGTTGCACCTATGAATGAACGACAAAAAAAAAGCACTTTGCACTAACAAAGTGCAATAAATGTAGGTGGGGGTGCTGTTACAGCTGTGACAAACGACGGAATGACGCGGGGTCCTTGTGTCGAGTTTGGAGGCTTGGAGCGAGCTGCCGAGGCTAGTCGATGGCTAAGTGAAGAGGGAATGGATATAATAAAAGAGGCCTTCGATTCTACTTCTCGGTTTGCAAGGTTGCGTAGTTTGAAGAGTGCATTAGCAGGGAGGTTGTTGTTTATTAGATTTGCAACAACTACTGGCGATGCTATGGGAATGAATATGATTTCTAAAGGGTGTGAGAAAGCCCTTTCGGTGATGTCAGAACATTTTCCGGATATGCGGATTATTTCCCTATCCGGAAACTTTTGCACTGATAAGAAACCGGCAGCCATTAACTGGATCGAGGGGCGTGGGAAATCCGTTGTGGCTGAGGCGGTGGTCTCTGGCAAGACGGTACAGGAAGTATTGAAGACGTCTGTCAAGGCATTGGTCGAGTTGAACACATCAAAGAATTTAATTGGATCCGCAATGGCAGGAAGCATTGGTGGGTTCAATGCGCATGCAGCCAATATTCTGACGGCAATTTACATTGCTACCGGACAAGATCCGGCTCAGAACGTTGAAAGTTCAAATTGTATAACTCTGATGAAGACGTAAGTATTTTATTATGGGATTGAGTTTACGTATGACTATGTGTTGATTGAATGTTTATTCTCTGCAGTGTAAATGATGATCAAGATCTTCTTATAACGTGTACGATGCCGTCGATCGAAGTAGGAACCATTGGTGGGGGTACAATTCTAGCACCTCAAGGTGCAATGTTAGACATGCTCGGAGTTCGTGGGGCACATCCAACAACGCCAGGTGCCAACTCCCAGAAATTGGCGAGAGTCATCTGTGCAGCAGTGATGGCAGGAGAACTCAGCTTGTGTGCTGCATTGGCAGCTGGACATTTAGTAAAATCACATATGCAACATAATAGATCGCAGCAACAGCATTCCAGCGCACCAACACGATAAGTACCATCACGCGCAATGCCACATTCTCATCATCAGAATGCTCAGAGTGAACAGAAAAGGATGTATTACCAGAAAAAGAACTATCGAACCATTAAGACTGTGTTAAATTTAAAAAGTAGATTGTACTGTATGATTAATTATTTAGATAGCAGTTGTAATAAAGTGTGCACCAAAATTGGCTTTGTATCATTCACAAAGATATTGATCTTGTTTCGCTCAGCTGCTTATTGACTACTACATTATTATGTTTAATTGTTTAACTCAATAAATGGAAAGTTTGTCATTCCCCATTATTCCATTGCCAATATGCCTAAATCTTTTCTTAATTGATCCAGCTTCATATCCCAACATTCCTCAAAGTAAACGTTCAATAACAATTTACTCTGGAAACCACATTGCAGCGCCCACGGAACGTATTTCTCAAACAAACGCTTTCTTTCTTTATATGTTAGACTGAAATGTCCAAAGAAAGATGAAATTGTAGTTACAGGTAAACCCGTCTGTATCATTTCAAACCATTTGAGTGCTAGTTCAGCCTCGACTGTAGTGGAAAGATTTGTAAGAGTATGAAAGAAATCGTGACATTCACGAAATCGTTGCATGACGTAGGCCAGTTCTTCATCGTCTATGAAATGGACCTGTTACAAACAAAAAGGCATGTTAGCCTTTCTGCAGACTGAATTGGGAATAACCTAGTAAAAACTACTAACCTTGACACGCGTATCCGGCGATACTTTCTGATCATCTAAAAATCTTACGTATTCTCGACCAAACGATCCGTCGGGTAATCGACGCAATGCCATAATATCGACTGTACTTGAATTTATGACAGGTTTTTCTTTCAGGATTCTACGACCAATTTTATCTTTCAACATCTTATCGCGTAGGGAGACTAGAGCAAAGGGAGGCAGCATTGATGTGGTTTCTCCTAAAGCAGCCACCATGTCTGAAGTGTTGTTTCTGCTCAGATATCATTAACAAACTGGGAGCAAACAATTGGTGTTATAATACTATCATACAAAACCTTGCCTGGTCGGATCAATTAAAGCAGTTACAGCAGATGCAACCGTTAGCAACGATTTTTGAAGTGTTGAAATAGGTATGTGGGATGGATAAAGTTTCTGTTGATTTGCATGGCGAGGGTAATAGGCTAGATTGTGTAAAAAAAAAAAAAGAGTTAATTTCGAATTCAGTAGAATAATGGATAACGAATTTCACTTTACCTGATGAATTATACCGTTTATTATTTACATCTATCAATATGCGTGAGCTTAACGTTCTCGCTCTCATCATCACTAACATCAGACTTTTAAGATTTTAATTATGATATTAATATATACCCAATGAAAATGTCAAAGTCACCGTCACATGATAACGTATAAACACTATCAAACTTGAATCGTACTTCAGTTCACGATCGCGCAATGTCTCGCCCAACTGAGGAGCGTAACCAGGAAGCAACAGTTTATATAGGAAATCTAGACGAACGCTGTACAGAGGCACTAATATGGGAGCTGATGCTTCAAGCTGGACCTGTAGGCAAGTGCACAAGATCCACTGCACTCGATGGTAATGGACAAAACGCAAACTCCTCTTCTCTATTATTCTAGTAAACGTTCACTTACCAAAGGATCGAGTAACACAGACCCATCAGGGTTATGGGTTCTGTGAATATATGAGTGAAGACGATGCTGACTATGCTATCAAAATAATGAACCAGATCAAACTATACGGAAAGCCTATTCGTGTTAACAAGGTCTGTAACTGCTTCAATTAAATTAATCAATGAACGCGTTCCCAAACTCATCGCCTCCATTTATTCTTTGTAGGCTACTTCAGACAAGAAGAATCTTGACGTTGGCGCTTCTTTATTCATTGGCAATCTAGATCCAGACGTCGATGAAAAGATGCTATACGACACTTTCAGTGCCTTTGGAGTGATCGTACAAACACCAAAGGTGATTATCAGTCAACGAAAGCAATGTAGTACTATTAGCATTATGCGTTTATGTATAGGCACGCTCATTTTTTCTCTCACGATGACTTTCTGTATTAGATCGCAAGAGATCCTGATACGGGAAATAGTAAAGGTTACGGGTTTATTTCCTATGATAATTTTGATTCCTCAGATGCAGCAATTGATGCAATGAATGGGCAGTATTTGATGAATAAACCAATTACTGTATCTTACGCCTTCAAGAAGGATGGCAAGGGCGAAAGGCATGGAAGTGCCGCAGGTAAGTAAATTTGACTAAAGTCATGAATTTGGCATATATATCATTTTATTATTCGTTCATCTTAAACCTGCTTCTTGCATACACGCGATAGAACGTCTGCTCGCAGCTCAAGCAAAGAAACATCAAACCCTACCGAACAGATTGTTTGCTGATGTGCGTCCGACTCCAATCCCACCAATGATCGGGATGAGGTCGGGAGCTCCACCGCCCCCGTCGCCACAGCAGATGATGGCATCAAGGGCAATGGTGTCTCCAACAGGAATGTATGGCGGATTTCCGCAAGTCACTGGTGCGAACGCTATGCAACAAGGACCGAGGCCACCGGTAATGAATCCTGGAAGCATGCCTCAGGGATATCCACCGAGGCCACCGATGATTTCTGGAGGTTTGTAAAGGTGTATAGATTTGTAGCGAATGATGTGTTAAATATCGAACAGAAACAGAGCAACACAATTTAATGTGCACAGTAGGAATGCTATAAAGGCTATCATAAAACAGTACTAAAGAGAAATAATAACTGAATGAACTCATATATGCAGCTCGTCCACCTCCATTCAATGGCCGATCATCATTTCGACCATCCGGAGCATATGGACAGTATTCTCCATCAACACCAGGACAGCCTCCGAACCAGCAAGCATACAGCTAGCCAACTCAACACGTAAGTTAATAGTTAGTTTAGTATCATGTATAGTGTTTCGGTTTAGATAATGCTGAGAAGAGCATTCTCATTGAATAAAGAAAAGCTCTGCTTAGTGAAACCGCCGTAATATGTTGGATCAGTACCACCATCACAGTTTGGTATTATGTGTCCGCTTATGATCGTTTCAAGCTTTTTACTGTGTTTTTGTCATTTAAATAATGCTGTTTATTTCGATTCTCTGCTTTTTCCAAAAATAGGATCTAAAGATGTTAAATGTTTTCATGTGCAAAGAGGAAATGAAAGAACGTCATTGGTCGTGCGTTGTCCACATGTAATTGTGAAGTGAGCAGTAATATGGGGTAAAGTATATACATAAGTGATCTATCACTACTATTTCGGATTGTACATCAAATTTGATGTTGGGTCACTGGTTTTATAGCTGCATTAATTCGCGGCCTGCCACACAATGGAAATTTCCTGGCTCTTGTTGTAAGATAAACTTTATGCATATCTGAGGTTTGTACAGATTAGGTATCGCAGGAACCATTGCGCTCTAATGAGGCAAGTTTCCACGAAGCATTTATAGAACATTTCCTGTCTTCAAGTCAGATGAATATAATATTATAATATATATGTATATTATGTTTGTCTTAATCTAGATTATAAACGTCTCAAATACTAAATTGAACTTGTAACGTCATTAAAACGAACATCTAATAAATAGTTATTCGAACTAGTTTCCTGTGACTAGTTCCCCTTGAAACGGTTCTCCACGCTATTCTCAGGATAGTGTATTTAAGTTATTATCGTTGTTATAACGTTTAAATGTTTAGACGTCTTACGCGTCTTAAGAGATTCAGTTGTGCTATATAATTTAACCATACTCGTAATGGACCCCCAAAAAATATTACAGTCGACTCCCCCTAAATGCATGCTCTCTAATGTATGCTGGTCTCAGGACTTAGTACTTAAATGCACACCCTATATTCTGCACGTGCAACGGATTTTGACAATCCCTTGTTACTGTAGTGCAGTAATGAGTGAATAAAAGTCCCTCGCGATAGTAATGCAGTAATGGGGTAGAAAAATCTGTTGTTGTTTTTTTTCGAAAACCTCTACTGGCCGTATCTACTATGTAAGTCACAATGATTTTTGTGCCGATTTGAATTTGTACTTTCGAGAAAAATGATTATATGATTAGTCCATGTTATTGTTCTGATGAAAATAAAATAATTGGTAACGGTTAGATAAAGGATGGTTAGTGCAGCGCAACAATCAAGTATAGATCAATATTATAACTGGATAAGCAAGAATGTATTAAGAGGACGTGCAGCGAAGAATATTAGTACCACGTGAGCACTAACTTGCATTGTTCTATTTAGCTGTACATTCTTGTTTAGCAGTCTTAAATTACGATATGTGTAACACGTATACTATCACTTCAGCTTTATAACGATAATACATAAAAATTTATTGCCATTTGCACGATATGCATCGGCAGGCTTCATATGTTTTATTAGTAAAATTTTGTGCACAGTAAAAATTTCTTTAATGAGGGACAAACAGAATGGCAACAACTTGTTGATATTTGGTATCAGCGTCAATGCATGCTTGAACTCGTATCAATGCTATCAACTACGGTATATCATGCCTTCGATATTATCTCATTTAATAGTAATAGCGCGCCCCATACATTCTCACTTGGACTTAAGAAGAATGTGTCGTGAAAGACAAGATTTCAAGTTGCTGATCAGGTTTTTTTCGCAAAACGCTTGAATTGTAGTTCCGTCAGAAGAAACCACTTATTCCAATATGTGCCCAAGTTAAACGGTCTTGCGGGTTAATATAAAATCTTACTGAAAAACCCAAATGTTTCGGCAAAAATGAAGTTAGAAATACCAAAATTGTGGATATCATAAATTTTTAATGTTTGGCAAGACATTTAATATGAACTTTTTCATCGGCATAGCGCTTTGGATGCTGTTCATATAATTATTTTTAATAATAATTCAAGTCATTTTTCGAAAAAACAAAACATGAAGTTTACACAAGCGTAAAAGAATTCTAGTTCTTTTGAAATTACAAACTTTCTGCTTCCAAACAAGTTTACGGTTTGTCTTGATCAGGGGTAGGTGCCTTTTGAAATTAAAATAAGTGTAAAAACAATTTTTTACATTTTCGTTTTATATCTTAAATTACTGTTCTACTGCTTAATTTGTAAATAAACGGATGCAGCGACGTTACGCGTCACTCTGTTAATGGTCGATTGTTTACATATGAATGTTCTGTGTGATATTAGAAAACTATGCAGTATTGTAATATCACACATGTTTTCGATTACCACATATCTGATATTATTGTTATCTCCTTTAGCATTATGCGAGTAGATATTTTAAATACCACATACCACACAGAACGTAAATACACGTCTGACGGCAAAATGCCTAAAATTATAAAAATGAACGTTGTCAAAACCAACATCAACAAGACCTTAAGTTTCTAAAGCAACTACAGTCAAACCTCGTTATACCGAATTTTCGTTTCACCAAAGTAATTATTGTTCCCCTAGTAAAATTCCCTCAATAGTAAAATCGCGTCATACCGTTACCGAAGCTCGATACCAGGATTTTTACTGATCGAAGTTTTCACATGATCAAAATTAAAATAGTGATTGATGAGGATCATACGATTATAGTCAATAATTCAGACACTTTATAGTCGTACAGCATATTCTGCCATTCTCCAATTATAACTAACACGAAACGGGCTAATTTGGACTAGTGTATAAAGTGTCGTCGGAAAAGTGTCGGACTATAACATTTAAAGTCGTACAGCATATTCTGCCATTCTTCAAATCATCGTCGATTATAACTAACACGTGTATAAAGTGTCGAAAAAAAGTGTCTGAATTATTGACTATAACCAGTTTCGGTTACTCGTACGATTTCAGCCGTCATGTTCGTATCCGTTTATATTTAGTCACCAGGTTTTGATGCTCGCTCTAGTCAACCTTTTACTATTAATTGTTTGTAAATTGAGGTAAAAATACTATTCAATAAAGTCTCATTATGAATATTGCTTGACCTTAGGCCTAAAGTCGTTATATATAGGTATCTTGTTATCCTGAATTCCTCGTTATGCCGAATAATGCTTAAATCTAGAAACTAAAACAAAGAGGAGTCTGCTATTATCACGGGAGTGTATATAACAGAAGTTCAATCCTATACTCTGATCCAGAGTCTGGGTTTTCAGATCGAAATGTGGATTACAGTCAACCCTCTCTATAGTCACGCTGTCGGGAACAATGCAACTTTTGTTGAAAATGTGCTTATAAAGACGTTGTGACTATATAGAGGGTTTTTCCTATAAGTTCAATAGTAATTGGTTCCCAAACATGGTGTGCTTATAAAGAGGTTTTTATATGATGTGCTTATAGAGGGTGTGACTATAAAGAGGGTTGACAGTATTTTTTTCTTGAGGTTTTTTGGAGTTGCAGATATGAATTTTCGAGTGTACCAACGACTAGTTTTAATACTGCCAAGACTGTAAAAATAGCCCCTTACGGAAGCCACTAGTTTGCGTCAGCCAGAAGGATAATTGTTTAAGAGTTTGAATTGTGCACAACCGGAAAATCGACATATTACTGCTGGCTGCAAGCTATATTTTTAAGAAAATACTTGATAAAAATTTCTTGGCGCGACCAAATTTAAACTGGTGTAACACCTCACCAAGATAAATTGATTGGTAGCGGGCTGGGCGCGAAACCTGTGGTTCCCCCTAGTCAATGGTAATCGTATTGATATATATTTATATGCCGATATACTATTCTATGATTTTGGACTATTTACTGCTTATCGATAACCCACAACGGCAAGCATGCAGTTTACGGGGGCGTACACTAGATCTAATAAATACAATAAACGCATTAGCACTGTTATTGCACAATGCGATTCCAAACTGTGAACTTGAGCAAGAAGAAGCCAGATGGCAGTTATCTGTTTAAGGATGTTTCGATTTCGTTAAGAGAAAGGGAGATAATTACCATCACTGGACCAAGTGGAGTTGGGAAGACAACGCTACTGAAATGTATTGCTGAACTAGTTGTTTTTGAAGAAGGAAGGCTTTATTTAGACGATAAGTCTCCCGACCAGTATGGTATTCCTCTTTGGAGAACACGCGTCATGTATGTTCCCCAGCGTCCCGGTAAGTATGTGATACTTGTTGGATGTTTTTCTGATCTTGCATTTGTAATATTTAACATGGTCTGTCGTTATTCTACAGCTGTTATGCCTGGCACACCATTGGCATTTCACGAAAAGATTCAATCTTATACCGCTCTAAAAAAGAACCGCAGTGCTCATGAAGATCCGGTAAGAGAAAAGTTTGCATTGGCGAGTGTTTGATGTTAGCTGTTTTAGTGACCATCACATTTCGGATTTAAGTAGGTTGAAATATCGGCGAGGTAAGATCAGATATGGCAAGAAGAAGCGACATGCTTGTTTCATCGGTCACTTATTAATTAATTCACTCATAGATGGGGCATAAATGAAGAGCTCTGGCACAGTGATTGGAATCGGCTTTCTGGTGGAGAAATGCAACGAATCGCGCTTGCGCTCGCCTTATCTTGTAAGCCAGATATTTTGCTTCTCGATGGTAAATGTTTATGGATTAGGGTTTTAAATCAGCTTTATATTTAGAGGTCCACAACCTTAGTTGCGTTTAATAACGGATTAGGGGTTTAACTTCAGTTTTAATACTCACTATTAATCACTTTCACTACCTACGTGGAAAATAATCTAAAGAACCAACATCTGCGCTTGATTCCGAGACTTGTTTTTTGGTAGAAGAGTCTTTGAAAGAATATGCTTGCATCTGGGTAACGCATGACCGAGAACAAGAGAAGCGAGTCGCACACAAAACTTTGCGATTAGAAAAGCAAGACAATGGACTTAACAATAGAGGAGATGAAATCATCATTAATATATAAAGTTCGGGCAGGAAGTGCA